CACGGGGAGGTTCCAGTAAATCCCCACACATTTACTGAAACATAGGGAAAGGGGTATTGACTTGACTGCCACTTACTTTGACTTGACTAATATTTTGACCACGAGTGCTATAAAATATGTAAACATTTTACACTTGACATTGGCTAAATGCACAAACTGCGAAGCCATATAGAGAAAAAAAAAAAAAAAAGGGTAGGCAATGTCTGCGTTATGCTCCCTGGTTCTTTAAGCAGTCTATAAAAGCTATAAAGATTTGATCACAGGCAACGTTTATAAATTTTCAATTAAAATTGTATTATTAATACGAGTTACTTTGTTTAATCATAAAAGACAGAGGTATATTTAAATTAATCGATTCTTCTTGCAATACCGAAGTGATATCGCGATGAGCATTAACGATAGCAGAAAGTAGTCTTAGGATATATAACAACTGTTACTAAAAACATGTTCTTTTACGACCTTCGTTATTAAACTAATTAATTTTTACAACTCTAGTATGCTAGAAAATCGTTTAAAGTTGCGTTCTAATCTAGAAAATTATATTTAAACTTATAAATGGCCTCAACAAAGTTAATGAGCACATTTATCATTGCTTTAATTAATAACTCTGTGAGTTCTCTATCCAATAAATTAAGCGTGCGCAATAACGCAAGGTGACATTTAAACAGAATGTCTAGTAGCTTTACTTCAAAATTAATTATAACATCTCAGTGTTCGCCGCAACACTTTAATTACTCAAGCCTGTTTGTACACAAACGAATGTTTAATGCGACATTTGTATATTTAATTGTCGATTAATTTAACTGCTATCGTTAATTTGAAACTGTCTTTATTATTGCAAATTTGTTATAGGACCGAAGTTTACGTAGCATAGATTCATTCACTGACAGCGCGAGCATTTGTTTATTATACAACTTTGCGTCTGTACCCTTAGTACGAGTTTGAGCTCACGACTAGTGGCCCTCCCTCGCTTCGCTTCGGTGTAGAGCTGTAGTTTAGATTATATTTTTGTTCTCAGGTTTCTATTAAACACAATGACTTTCTTTAAATACCTAATTACTAAAGACACGCGCCGCCGCCGGCCCCCCGGCCAGTACTGCCCGAACCGGTATGTTCCTGCATTTTAAATCTGTAATATCTTCGAAAATATTCATTTAAATTACATGCTGTAGAGGGTTATATTGATCTATATTACACGCACAATGTATTTAAGGTACTTAATTGGATAAGGATTAATGCTGTATTGCTTAAAATCGCTTGTTCGTAAATAAGCCATTATTTTCTCGTAATAAGTAATTAAAAAATGGTTATTGTGGGTTATACCAAAGAGGTAGGCATATACCATCGCGGACTTTTTTGTAGACCTTTTTAAGGTGTACAATACTGTAGTACATTATTTTGATCTATCTCCTTGGGTTCAGCCAGCGTTTGCAATGTAAGCGCAAAAAAATGTGTTTATTTACGACCTTATATTAAAAACCTCTAAAATTATCAGTGTTTCTCTACTATATTATGCATGTATTATACATATAAACCTTCCTCTTGAATCACTCTATCTATTAAAAAAACCGCATCAAAATCCGTTGCTATTGTATTTGATGAAATTTTTGAAAACGTCTTCAACTCCTCCCTTCTTTATTATAATATAACTCCTTTTCTTCTAATGGTCGTATTTTGATATTACTTATATTTAACATCTTGTTGTATAATGAAGATATGCCATAAAGAATTGAATAGATTCAAATTAAGAGAATGTGCTTAAGAAATTGTAGAGGAAATTTATGAGCTATCAAGTTACACTTAAACGATCATCCAAAACCTTTTCGGAATTATCGTTTTCGATTTTTTTATTATATGCGTTATAAGAACAATGTTACCTCGATTCACCATGTAGTCAGGCAGTGAAATTATTAACGTATTGAAGAAAAAAAATCTATAAAATTCGCATAAGACTTTAATTTTACTGTAACTTTGAAAACTTTGAAATCCTCAATCACTAATTGCTTCTTTAAGAAATCACTTCTCTCCAAAATATGTCTGGAAGCTAAAGATTTTTTGTATAATAAAGAATACTTTATTCAAAGTCCAAATCGCTCCAAGATTAGTGTCACGCGTGGAAGATGTCATTGTTTATGCCCGAATTCCTTATCTGTGACGGTATTCGTCGGTCGCGCGCATTGCTATTCCGAGTGCATGCGCGCGCGCCGATTCGCACCGTGACTGCGCTTACATTTTTATTCATAATCCACTACTGTGTATGTTATAATTTGTTACTGAATCAAATTATTAAATTTCGGGTCGGTAAGGTTGTATGCGTGTGTGGACAGGCGAGTAAGTGTAATATTTTAAAGTAATGTTTGTTACTAGACTAGTTCCTGAGTCAAGGATATATTATTAATATTTCAAAACATTTAAGGGGAAATTTCGTAATTACTCGAAATAACATGATGTTCAAAATTAAAAGAAATTACATAAAATGTGATAAAAAAGCTTTTCTTCCCCACATTTCAAAATGCCCACCGTTTTCTGTTGTACTTATTTAATTTTATAGGTAGTTAGTTTTTTATCACCAAAACTTATTAAAAGTCGACTCGAAATGCATTTTGTATCTAGGACGTTTTGCATTGAATATTCAATTGAATGGTAATCCATTCAAGCCATAGAGTGCTGTTTTGCAAACAATTTGGCAACTGACAATACTTAACTAGCACTTGCTGCTCCATCCTAAGTTATGGCTTGAATACATATATAACGTCAGAATGGTGTCATCCCCGATTCAATACAGCTGAATTGGTCCGATAGAAGATGGATTATAAATTACAACATAAAACATGCATCCTATTGAGATTCCAATCAAAGCAAGCTTTACAGAATTAAACTATAGAAATATTTGAAGGCAAAGGATGCTAAGTCCATACATCCTTTCAAGTAATAAAAAAAATTAACATGTCTTTTTTTTGTGTCACTAAACAGGCTCTGCCAGAATAACAGCGCTAGTGCGACACGATGTCGCATCAGCTAATGCTGAGGCAGAGTCCTGGTTAGCCCTGTGTTTTTTGAATTTGAATCTGTAAATGTGTAATATCTGTATTAAGAGGGCTAATAAAATATATTCTATTCTATTCTATTCTATTCTAAATAATGGCAATAACTGATAACTGCACGATCGACCTTTATTCAATAGATTTTTACCGATCGTAATAAATCCATTAATCTTCAAAAGAAATTGTTAAGTTTTTATTGGTAATTATTAGCAATTACGTTTAAATCAGCAACTTTTACTGTATTGACTTCAAAGCAATTTAAGAAGCCTTATTACCCTTTTTACTAGAACTGTCTTAATGTAACTTAATATTTATACAACAAAAATAATACCAAACAAAAAATATTCATGACAGCTTTAAACGACACCAAATACAAAAATCGCAGGATAATTTTCGACACAAAAAAATCGACTAAAACATTTCGTCTCGTTGCTTCATTAGTTTCAGCGTGACCAAGTTACTGTAACCATAACAGGCAGCGTTACAACACCAATCAACGAAAGCTTCACAGCAACGCTAACTAAACTGTAACGTCAACTTGTTACCAAAGGTAACAAACGAAACCGACAATTGTAAAACAATGGAAGTGGATACTCACAATCAGCGGGTTACGTAAACAAATCGGCGAATACCAAGGTCATTCGATAACAAAACCATAGTTGAACGGAGGTACCAGACCGGAACCGAACTTGTGCACCGCGGTCAGGTGCGCCGTACGCCGGAAGTGACGTCTTAACCCGACCACTAAGGAGGGATTTCACTATCTAACCTATCCGCTCGACGTGCGCCCAGTTGGCCGTGTAAATGCGGCTTTAGGTCAAACACGCGGACGCGAGAGTGAAAACCAATTCCCATAATTACTTAATAGATTAATTACAAAAACAACGTTTGCTATACAGCTTAGCTACCGGTCTATGGTTCGAAAACTCTTAAATATTGCTGCGTTTAAAACCCCACTCACTCGTTTAGTTTAGTGAAATTTTCTTATATTAGTTACAACAAATAGGGATGTGGTTGTTAAAATAAGTGTTTTCAAAATTTTCGGAGATTAATAAAATATAAATGTTCACTATCCCCTTATTTAAACACTTGGTAACACAAAAGTATTTAGGAAAATCAGGATCTTAAACAAGTGAACTTTCTTTTAGCCCCATACCAATACTAGTTCATTTGAAAAGGGTTATCTGTCATATGCATAAGCATTTCATACCACTTTTCATTGAAAATAAACATCTAAACTTTACTATAATAGCTTTCATAAATAACGAAATTCAAAAGGAATTCAAGCTTTTCACAACTTGTAAAATGTATGAGGCACCGCCTTTTTAGTCTTTGTACGCCTTCCACCAGATCCTGTTGAGAAAACTAGATATTAATAACCGAGTATTATGTACGAACGTCGGCCCATAAACTCCTTTTATTGACACAAACATCTCAATCAGTGCATTTAATTAATAAAAACAATAACTCGACTACATGGTCGCTGAGCTTACTCTTTCCAAGTAAAACGACATTAACAGACCAACTTGATTGTAATTTGCATAAAACTGTAGTCAACATTATTGGAATGCTGGCTCGGACAATAACGAGACATTAACTGTTTAATTACGGTTAAATAGGTACCGATGCGGCGACAGTGTAACGAACCACCTAGTTTGTTATAATGTACGTAATGACTTTGTTTCGTTGTCTTATGCAAACAAGTCTTGTAGGAATAGCATTCCTAAAAAGGAATCCTAGAGCTTAACAAGTCCAACTTTGATAAGTACACGAATTATCAGTTGCATTCAATGCCGTATTTGAAAAATCACTGCAACCCAAACGACGTTAATTCTATTCAAATTTTGAACTCTTGTATCCTACATTAATTATTATTCTCGACTTATTTACGCATCGCATCTTAAGTTGACTAATATATCTTGTCCGTTTTAACATATTCCTTTTCTTTGTTTCCAGTCGTTCTTCGGGAGGTCGTACAACAACCTCAACTCGATCACCGAGTGCAAAAACAACGGGGAATGCGTCATCAATAAGAAAAATAGGACCGCGTGTAAAGCATGCCGGCTGCGCAAGTGCCTCATGGTGGGCATGTCCAAGTCAGGCTCGAGGTACGGCCGCCGCTCCAACTGGTTCAAGATCCACTGCCTGCTGCAGGAACAGCAGCAAGCGGCGCAGTCCCGCTCGCCGCCGAGGGTACCCCAGTCACCGCATCCATTAGCACCGCCCTTTCCACCGCACCTCTTCCCGAGTCTTGCGAGGCCGCGGACGAAAGAAGAACTAGCGTTACTAGGCCTAGACGACTTCAAACCGCCGTGCTCCGGGTCACCCGATTCGCACCACAGCGGCTCGTCCCCGAAACTAGATGAGAAGACAAAGATCACGCAATCGCGGCCGCCGGAACGACCGCTGACGCCGCCCAGGGACGCGTTCGTGCCGCTGCCACTCGCCAACATCGGTTCCTTGCCTCACTTCCCACATTCGCCGTTCCTGCCACCGCCCCCCTTCAGCCCGTTCGCTCCCAATCATCCCCTGTTATTCCCGCCCGGATTTCACCCGCTGTACTCGCGGCATCTGCTCGACCACCCAGCTCTTCGGCACGCAGCCGAAAACAACAATGATTTGCGAATCGACGACCACAACGCAGACTCGTCGAAGCGTTTCTTCTTAAACGAAATATTGAAGCAGCAGCGGTCTTCGCAGCCTCCTACGCCTCAGGAAGACGTGATCTCCGAAGCCGAATTCGTGCCCACGCCTCCCGCCGAGAGAAGAACGTCAGAGTCGCCCTTGCAAGAGAACCCTATGGACTTATCCGTCAAATCTGACGGCAGATCCAGCTCTGCCCGGCGGAGATCGGACGATAGTGAAGTGATAGCACCCGACCACGATGACGGGGAGTCGGGCAGTGCGGGCGGCTCGGCCAGCGAGGATGAGGATATGTCGTACTCACAGATCAAGAGGATCAAGCTGCATCCACTGGACCTCACGACCAAAGTCTGACGTCACGGACGCTAGTGCTCGCGTTATAAACAATTTATCAAAGTTAAATCGTCAGTGAATCTTTTTAAGGCCAGTAAATCGGATTGTGATTTTAAAATAAGTAGGACGATCGAAAAGACTATCTCGAAAATTGTTTAGTGAATTGTTATCGCTTGAAAGAGTCTATCCAAATACGTAACTTTACTTAAGTTTAGTTGAAATGTTAATGGTACTTAAAGCCCGGTTTAAGATTATGTACAAATCGAATGTAAATAATAAATTATTTTGTATAGTTTAAGAGCTAGGTTAAATATTAGTTGGTGATTTTTTTTGTTCAACGATAAAACCTGCCGGGTTTTTGCAACATTCCGCTAAGATGTAAACAAATAAATAAATGCCCGTACGTTTTGTATTAATTCAATATAATTTATTTCACTTAGTAGAATTTTGAGTAGTAGTGTGTTATTTGAGAATTCAAATTGTTTTATATTCGGGTGCATTGTGAATTTAGCTTTTTTTATTTTTAACGCCTTCTTAAGTTGTTTTTTTGTTTCGTGTTTATGAAAAAAAAATGATGGTTGTCTATGTGTAATGATAATGAGATAATATACTCTACTATACAAGCATTCCTATGAAATTGCTCAATATTTCAAATGTTTGATACGCTACAATGTACTCAAGTAGTGAAATTAGTCACGACTCGTAACATACTCATGTAATAAATACTGCGTGGTTGTCCGTCTGTATATAAATGTAAACTTAGCTAGCGCGAATCAACGCAGGTGATGATGTGTTTGTAATCAATGCATTCCGTGAAGACGTACAAAATAAAATATTCATGCACTCGGAATATATGTATTTTGTTTTTTTATTTTATATGCGCACGCGCCGGTTTACCCTTGGTCAATAAAACTAACTATTATTCAATGAGAATCGGTACCCATGGTATATCCATAGTTTACTATTGGTAATGGGTCATTATAATCAGCCTATTAATGTCCCCACTGCTGGGGCACAAGCCTTCCCTATGGATGGAATAGGGAGATTGGGCCATGACCCACTATGCGACTACGTGCTAACGACTGCAGATGCAGCCGGGACCAACGGCTTAACGTGCCTTCCAAGGCACAGAAGAACTTGAGATAGAAGATTTTTGCTCACCCATCCAATAACCTACCACTGCGAAAGTTGCTTTACTTCAACGACCGCAGCCGAACGCGCTAACCACCTGCACCATCGAGCTCCTCGAGTAATGGGTATTATATGGAATAGGGAGATTGGGTCATGACCCACCAATCCGCACTGGGCAGTGCGTGTATAATGGCGACCATATTGGCTGACTAAAATGGCCGTCACTTTAAGTGAATTGTTTGATGTTAAGAAGTAAGTGATATGAAAGATACAATGTTTAGAAATCGTATATTTACAAGATATACGATTTCTAAACATTGCATCACTATATGATATAATATCTATATATATAAAACTCAAAGGTAACTGACTGACATAGTGATCTATCAACGCACAGCCCAAACCACTGGACGGATCTGGCTGAAATTTGGCATGCAGGTAGATGTTATGACGTAGGCATCCGCTAAGAAAGGATTTAGATCAATTCTACCCCCAAGGGGATAAAATAGGGAATGAAAGTTTGTATGAAACTTTATCAATTTTAAACCGATCGGGCTGAGACTGCATGCAGGTATAAGAAGAATCATAGATGAATGACATTGTCTATAATACAAGCCTGAGAACAAAAACTGTAGTCTACACTTCAGCTCTACACCGAAGCGAAGCGAGGGCGGGCCACTAGTAATTAATCAAAACTAGTTTACAATAAAAACTAAATGTAGGTTAGGTTCTGGCAATAACATTAGACAATCTGTCCCCGTAGCATGAGCATCATAATATACATTATATCGCGTTTTTTATCGTGTCTAACTGTCAAACTCTACAGTCGTTTGACAATTGAGCGTGACATAAACGCTTTTTATATCATATCGCGGAGCTTATGATATAAGGGTCATAGGATTCATCATCAGCCTATTAATGTCCCCACTGCTGGGGCACAGGTCTTCCCTATAGATAGAATAGGGAGATGGCGGGTGCTAACGATTGCAGATGCAGCCGGGACCAACGGCTTTACGTGCCTTCCGAAGCACGGAAGAACTCGAGATAGAAGATATTTGGTCACCCATCCAATGACCGACCACTGCGAAAATTGCTTAAGTTCAACGATCGCAGCCGAACGTGCTAACCACTTGCGCCATCCAGCTCCTCAATATTAGTTAAAGAAACATTATAAATACCTAATAATGTATCAAATTTTTTACAAATATATACATGCAAAATCTCAAGACGCGTAAGGTAAATCACGCTAAGAAAAAGAATCTTTGGGGCCTTTTGTATCATACACTGCCACATAAATCAACAAGAAGTAATCTAAAGAAAATGTTACTAGAAAAATTCGCGTGGAATTTATAGTAACATGTTCTTAAGAAATAAAACTAGTTTTAACGGATTAATGCACGAACTTTATTTATTTACTAGCTGTCCCAGCGAACTTCGTACCGCCATAAAAAAGAGGGGTTGGTGGTAGAAGGGTGAAAATTTAGGGTTGTATGTATTTTTGTATGATGTATAATAAAAAAAATTAAAAAAATATATCTAAAATTGAAAAAAAGAATAGGGGTGGATTACCCTTAACATTTAGGGGGATGAAAAATAGATGCTGTCCGATTCTCAAACCTACCCAATATGCACATAAAATTTCATGAGAATCGGGAAAGCCGTTTCGGAGGAGTTTAACTACAAACACCGCGACACGAGAATTTTATATATAAGATTGACGTTTCGCAGCCTTTTCAGGTCTGCATCGTCAGAATAATGATTTTGGAAGGTAGCTCGACAAAGCAAATAAATTTCGTGTATTAATCCGTTAAAACTAATTTAATTTAATGAGTAATGTGCGTGAAAACCTAAGAAACAAATATGTTCTTAAGATTTAAATATCGAGAAGTTACATGCTTAAAAAATAAAAAAATGTAAAGTCGCAATCTGTTATAAGCTTGGACGATAATACTAAACAACTGAATCACGATTTTCACCCGTTCCGTACGCAAAGGGTTAAAACGGGCACCTTTACTATGACTCCACTGTCCGTCTGTCTGTCTATCTGTGACCTGTCTGTCTGTCCCATGAACCGTGATAGGTAGACAGGTAAAATTTTCACAATTTTCACAGATGATGTATTCCTGTTGCCGCTTCTTCTTCCACACAACAAACGTGATTTTTTGGTGGTTTTTTGCTTTATTAATAACGGCAATAGGAAGACGCTTGAAATATATATATATATATATAAAGAATATTTATTTGTATATTCATTGTAAAAAAATAATAATTAAATTCCTATAAAATAAATATTTAAGCATCCCATGCAACAGACGTGACTTTTAATATTTTTTTCATCCCACCACCTCGGAAAGTGTAATTTTGCGCTTCGAAATCTGGCTGGAAAATTCTATTTTATTCGCTTGAGCGGCAAAGTAGATTTGAATTTAGAACATCACATATAATGAGTACTCAATATAATTGTAAATTCAAAACGTCATTAAACCTATTTAATGTAACCTCTATGGTGCCAAATTTATGATTAGAACTTTTTAAATTGTGAAAAAAATTAAATTTGGAACCTTCTTGGTTTCTTTGTTTTATTTGCGTGCTTCGCGCCATTCTAGTTTTTCACGTTTTATTGCTTAATATAATTAACATAACCTAAAAACTGTACAAAAAAATCAACTAAAATGAGTGACATTAGCGACGATGAAGTTTATCTAACGCCAACTGAGTTAACTGAAACAGTTAATAATGCGCAAATGAGCCTTCTCCCTCAGCAATCACGAGAGAAGTATTTGAAACAGTACGATATATTTAACATGTGGCGACTAGCTAAAGGAGCAAAAACTTTCTCCGAAAACGTTTTGCTGGCATATTTTATAGAATTATCTGAGACCAAGAAAGCAAGCACGCTATGGAGTACGTTTTCAATGCTAAAATTAACAATTAAGATGAAGAAAGACGTTCATATCGACACCTATCATAAATTAGTGGCATTTTTAAAAAGAGCCTCATCTGGTTATAAACCAAAAAAATCGAAGGTTTTCACAGCATCTGAAATTGCAAAGTTTATTAACGAAGCACCTGATTCCGTATATTTAGCGGCAAAAGTAAGTCAATACGTGTAATTTTTTGTTGTTGATAAAATTGTACATAGTACTTACAATATTTTTAATTTGATTAATTTATTTACGATTATAAATACTTCTTTTGTTACAGGTTGTTCTTATTATTGGTATAACCGGAGCATGTCGAACAAATGAACTTACACTACTTAATGTCAATAACGTATCAAAATATTCTCATAATTCTGATGAATTGCTATTAATTAATGTACTAAATACCAAGACAAAAAAAGACCGCAACTTCGTTATTCGCAAGGAATATGTAAACATTGTTCAGAAATATCAAGCTTTACGTCCTTCTAACACCCCAATTGAACGATTTTTTCTACAATATCGCAACGGAAAGTGTATCCGACAACCTATGGGTCAGAATAAAATTGGCAGTATTCCACGAGAAATAGCAACTTTTCTCGGACTTTTAGAACCCCCGTTATACACCGGTCACTGTTTTAGAAGAACCTCAGCCACACTTTTGGCCGAATCAGGGGCTGATCTTCTATCGCTTAAGCGCCATGGAGGCTGGAAGTCTAATTCGGTTGTAGAGGGATACATAGAGGATTCAATCCAAAGTAAATCAAAAATTTGTAATAGTATCGTGGAGGCCATAACGCTGAAAGAACCTCTGTCAGATTCTTGGTCTCGCCCTTCTACATCTAAAATGAGCCCCCATAAGATTGGAAACAATAGCCCTCTCTCGCCAACATTTACGCCAATAGAATCCAATGAATCGGCACAACTATTTAAAATTACTGATACGAGTAGTTTACCACAAAACAGCGCACAATTCACAAACACCAACATAACATTACCTAACAAAAATATTAAACTTAACATAAGTAACTGTAGCAACGTTACATTTAATATTTCTTAATTATTTTCTACTTCTTATTATTTTCTTCAATTTATAGATTATCTTAATGTGTTTTAATTGAAATAAAAATATTTTGTCATTATAAATTGTTTTCTTTTTCATTTTGTCATTTCCTCGCTGAGGTGGGATGAAAAGTTACGTATTGCACTCGAGTGGAAAGATTTTTCACCTTGTGCTCGTTTGTTTCCCTCGCTGACGCTCAGGATTCTAATTTAGAATCACTCGCTGCGCTCGTGATTCAACTTTAGAATCCTTCGCTTGCTCGGTCATCCAAATCGAGCACGCGGTTAAAAAGGAACTTTCCACTCTTGTATAATAAATAACTATTGATCTATATAATAATTATCGGTTTTTACGTTACTTTATTACTTGCTTTTAAAATGCTTTTAAAATTATATTACTAAATTTTTTTTTGTTAAAACTTATTGTAACTCTTTCCGTTTTTCAATCAGCTTAGCATAATCGACACCCCGCAGTGCTATGCTGTAAAAAATAAAATTTTACAGAATAGCATTGATGGTCGCGGTGCGCATAGATAATAAGCGCGCTAGCTATTGATAGTGCGCGGTAGGTCTGTGGCCGTGCGCCGGCGCATGAGTGCAAAGCCTTGACCCGCGCTTGTGCGCATCTCCGCGAGGTGGATGCAACCTTTCAAAGCGCGCATCCTTAACAAACATGTCAACATCAGACTTAAC